AACCAACGCGCAATTTTGTAAAAATGCGTAAATAATTCAAGTAATGGGAGAAAAAGCGAGAATGGCGGCAGGAAAAAGAATTCAATGTCACTCGTTTTGTTCGATTAGGTGACATCCTTAAGAGGAAAAATAGGCCTTCTGTTATCCTATCGCTAAGTAAACGAGTGGATGCATAAAGACTGCGCAAAAATCTTTCGTCTTTCTTGTTGTTCGCATGCTTTTTAGAAATTGTATAATTTACAATTCTTGGGTGAACAAATTAAAAATAAATTGAGAACACCTTAAAAAAAAGAAATAGAATTCAAAGAAAGAATTTTTCGTTAATAGAACACTCTTCCGACTTCATTCTTGTAGAATTTCTTTTAATTTCATTTTACCAATATGACAGACCGTCCAATTATGCCATAATGCGCTTATCATCCGACAGTGACACAGCAACCACACTAAGATGAGGACTGTCTCGAAGAGGCTTATGACTCCCTTTCAGCTCATTCCCGTTAATTTGAAAGTTGTTGGCTGAAATGAGTTCATAACTGTTCATTTTTCATAAAATACATGAAAATTTACCTTCAATGACAAATTATATACGACGCCAATTTCATCAAATTGAAAAACGCACTTTCGCTTCACTTTCTTCAACGTTGTAATGGATAGATAACGCGTATCTTGTCAATCGAAGTTCATTACAACATTTGAAATATTCAAAATCGATAGAGATACAATGAGAAACACAGGAAATATCTTTCTGGAAATAAGGAAGGATGAGATAAAAGTCTATCAAGAATTTAATTAATTATTAAGTACGTCTAAATTATCATATCATTTTAGATTATTAGAGTTATGAGTTAAATAATTATAGGGTTAAATTTACTAAAAAGGTAAACAAATCTGGCTAGTTTTAGAGTGTTTTTGATATGTATAAAGAAAAAAAAAAAGCTCACTAAGGTTTGGTGACGTTCAATGGTCTAACGCCGAAGGATGCAACGTTGAAAATCAGATGTGAGCAAGGAATGATGTAGAGGAATTAAGTTGTGTAGTGAAATGAAATAATATGGACAACTTATAGAGTACTAATCATTGATACCAATCGTTCAAAAAAAGATTCTGAATAATAAAATTTCAACAGAAAGTGGAATGAATAACTGATGAAATAATGCTTTCGACATCACCATCAAATAGTAGGCATACATTTTTGATTTCTGTCTAATCTAATGACACTATAATGACAACTTCTAATAGAGGTGATAATACAGAAGGAAACAAGTAACATTCATTTGCTTCTAAAGACGAAACATGTTTTTCGAGGATAATAAATACAATGACAGTACCAATAATGATTTGCATGCATATATGGATGAGTAATGGTGGGATTTGACAGGTAAGTAAATGATCGATTAAAAAAGAAAGATATCGAAGTGAAATACACTTCGTGTGTAATTCTGGGATATTAATTAAACGTTCAAAGAAGTAAAATGGGAGAATTACAATCTTTAAAAGAGCGTAAAGCTTTGATGCAATTATTATGATCGATCCATAGATTTTCAAGATACTCAATGTTTTGATCTTTCACAACTACTAATCTTCAATTTTTATCCATCACAATCGATCGCTTCTATTTTGAGAAATCGTCAGTTCTATTTTGGTTTAATTTACATATCATATTAAGATGCAAAGATTACACACCTCCTTTGATCTGGAAAGGAATCTAGGAGAACAAAACAAGGTTTCTCTATGAATAAAATACCTCATAACCCTCGAGATAGCCGGAGATCCCAAATTCCTATTTAAATGGGATTCTGGATATGCTGTGAAAGTCTTGATTGTCCCCAGAGATTAATTTTAACTACCTTAGACCGATAAATTTTCTATTTCAACCCATCGATTCAACTGAGCATAATGACATAATAACAATTATGTATCTTTAAATTCTGACAAAAAATATTTTCGAAATCATAATGCAATGCTAACAACAAAGTTACAAATGCGCTTCAAATACATTCGGAGATAACAATACAAAGTTTATGGGAAACATTTCGGTTTATTAAATTGATGATATTGGTAATATTTCTGAGATGGTGACATAAGTACTGAATAATAGCATAGTTCCATTCGGTGCTAAATCCCGGGAAACAGTAAAAGGTAAGACATTCAATTTGTTTCTGTTATCTATCTACTATTATCATTCTATTATTCACTTCATCATCTCTTTCGATGCTGTTAATAACAAAAGTAATGTGCAAGTATTTTAGTAAATGAATAAGTTACAAGTGACAAATTTAAAGTGAGAATAGCACAAGCGGTATTGTCCTTTAGATAATGCCAATCACAAGTAATTTACTTTTGATATCATAAAGGTTGAAATCAACAGAGAATCGCAATGAACTGTTCGAATACAAGAAAGCGGGGTGACAATGAGTCCTTACATGGGCACAGGAGATCACCAACATCACATCACATGCATGTGTGTCAATGCGCATTGATGTTCAAAATTCTGTGTATGTGTATGTGTGTGTGTGTGTGTGTTGTGTGTATGTGTTGTATGTACGTATGTATATGTCGTTGGCTGGTTGTTTTGCAAAAGTGCATTGACTAATTAATGTAATAACTCGAATGAATGCATTTATTAACCGTTTTTAAACACTCTGATTGAGGGAAATTTTAAATATCGGATGAAGGGAATGAAAGTAATTAAATCATGGAGATGAGACCATGAAGTTTAAATCCCTAAATTAATTACGGTGACTGGATTGTAGAGGGCAATGCGTTTGTAACCTTTAGTTGTACAAGCAAATTGAAGGAAGCATCGATTTTAAATTCTTAGCGGGAGGAATGGATTTCACAAATGATACTGAAAGCAGAATCCTGATCGTAATCCGGAGTGCATTTTGAAGGATGAGGAAATCCCGTTCTGGTTTACTTATCGAGACAAGTATTCTTCAAAATTATAGGACTATAAAAACTAAAGTTGACGGACCTGTTTGTTGCTTTTCCATAATGGAAATTAATAAGAGAATAGTTGAAGAGCAAAGTCTGACAAAAAAAAAAAGTCTTATTCAAATTACATTTCTAACAATGCTCAATAATCACATTGTAAAATAAACCACGAATGCTTTTCTAATGCACGAAGATATTTCAAGTTATTTTTGATTTATCTGTTTGTTTAAACATATAATGGAGATTAAAAATTTTCGAAATTTGCATAATATCCTGATAGTTTAAATCAAGATAAGACAATGTGATAACTTGATGACAATAATTATTGATTGGATCTAAATGAATTCTGGAAGAAAACGATCTTCAAAACGGCAACAAAGAAAGCAAAATATGGTAATAAACAATCAGTTTGCTATCAAACTGTAAAATATTAGTATTTATATTACAGTTCAATTCAAGTTAAATTATGTCAATTTTAAATACCTATTAAAGAGTGTACTTTGAAATCGAACAGAACTGTTTTAGCATATTGAAGATTTATTGATTAATTTCTAGGTCATTCTTCACTTAGAAAATATCTCAGTCACAATGTTTTGATGGCAATAAAAGAACTGTAAATTCTGAAACATAACAGTTAGCAACCATTTCAGTAAAAATCTTCCTCTGAAATTCTCTTGCATTCATTACATGCAGCAATCACAATACAAGGAAATCCGATCCTCTTTCATCCACTGCATGTGGCATGTAAGCCTGGACATTGAAATAAATGTTTAATTAGGATATTGGATAAGATGTTCTGTATTAATTCCTTTTTAAGGATGATTGAAGTATAACTGTAAAGTGAAATATTTTCATACATCTCATATTTCATGAATGAATTAGTTTCATGCCAAGTTTGAAATAAATGTAAATGTTTCGGCTTGCAAACTTCCCCAAATTTTAAAGAACAAATGACACAAAGATTCTGAAGATTGTGATTTTTTACTTTCCAGCAATTTTTCTTTTAAACGAAGGGAAATATTTCATTGATTTTCGTTATTGTTTCTGAAAAT